ATTCCGGGGGAACTGACTGTCCGTATCGGCGGATATTCTCTTCGGTTCCCAAATTGAATTTTACGGGTCTTTTGGCTATCATTTTCTGCAAGAGGTGTGTCCCCGCCCACGTGCCCGACCCCGCGGGGATCGTTGATAAATATGAGCCCACCCTAGACTAATGTAACACAATTTAAAAAATTGTTTTAAAATATAAAATGTTTAAAGAGCATAGTTTTATTAGATTATTAATGTTAAATTTTATTTAAATTATAATTAATTATTAAGCACGTCAAATTAAATATTAAATCAAAACTTGTTACTATATGTTTATAATCTTCAAAAATTCTGATAATTTTTAATTTATTAGCTAGCTAAGCATATTATTTTAATAATAATTACATAATCAAAGTGTTGTTCACCGAAACCCATAATAGAGTAGTATACTCTTTGGCATATAGTCTGAATAAAATAGTTTTCGCATAACTGGGCGTAAACTTCTTGCAATTTTCCCATATGCAGCAGTGATGCGGGATATGACCTAGGTCAGCACAATAATACAAATTGTTAAATACAACCAAATAAATTAAACCTAAATGATTTAGTCACATACCTTAAGAGACCCTCAATATAGGTCAAGTATTTTATGGGTGTAGTCGCGTGACCCAGGAATGAGACGGGCGATAGGGCTATGAATGGCTTCACTATTGCATTGTATTGTGATTTGGTGGCCAACAGTCCGAACATTATAATCGTACCCTTACTGTGACCAACATAGCCCAGGGTCTCTTTGGGATAAATTAAATTCTATGTTTTAATAAATGCTCACATTTAATTTTAAATGATAACTTATTGTATAAATTTTAAAATGTTGCTAAAATAATTATTATTTAAAAGTAAAAGTGAAAATAATTGTGAATAAGTTATTTAGCTCATTGGTAATTTAAAATGTTGTGTAAATAATGTATAATATTAATTCATGAATACTTTAACCGCTATTTATTATGTTTAATTATCATATAATAATTAAGAAATATAATTAACTTGTTTACAGTTTTTATTAAATATATATTTTTC